CCTCTTATCTCTCCTCCTTTTTTAAAACAATAATTGTGTTTCAACCAGAATATTAAACACAGTTAAAGCAGACAAAAACAATGGTACACTAATCTAAGTTGTAATAAATATTCAACTGGCTAGAGTTGCTTCAAATTAAATTCAATAAAATAAAATTCAACGGATCAATGGGAAGCATGTACAAGACCATGAATATAATACTCACCTTATAAAACGTTTCAGCAAATAAGTTTCAAAATCAAATATATAATTTATTATTGATAGTATACCATGAAACTAATACATAACTCCCATGAATAACGAGGGAATTATTGAATTCATAAAATTCCTTGACATATTCACCTTAGGACTTCGCACAGTCATCTAACTTAACACACTTTTACTCTTTAAGGTAGTGTAATGGTGATGATAAGCACGTAAATGCACACTTAACGTATCCGGATTTGAGATACTAGTTGACTGTTTTGACCATGGTATGATCAACAAAATTGGAAACTGTTAATCTCTAGCTGACAGTTAAGTGTTGAAACTGAATGTACCAGTAAATGTATACAGCCAAAGTATAATTTGACCAGAGTATATTCACTGCAATCTTTACAAAATCTTACTTGAAACTTTTGCTTATACAACAATTTTCTGATTGTTAAAAGGTGTACTCAAGTTATCAAAGGATAATTACTATACATCACCCTAGCTTTTTCAACACTACACAATTTTTTATGTGAAAAAGATCTTTGTTTTACTATTTTGTTAATTTCTGACGGAAGCGTACTTTTCATGACTTTAAGAAAGATGAGAGATTATTATGTATACATGTGGTCTGTTTCTTCAATAAATACAGTGTTATCAGTATTTGATTAGACTGAAACGGGTAACGCTTACTCAATCACGAGTACAGCTGATAGCCAGGAACTTCATAAAGTGTTGTCGTACTTTCGTATAGCTGACCTTGTACTTCTTTTACATTGACCCTTCTCATAATCAATGTTAATCACAACTCTTACTGCAGACTTTCCCGCATAACATCACATATATGCTTCAATCCTTATAGAATTTTCTTACAGGGAGTCACATCACTGTCAAAGTTTTGGTAGACGAGTTTCAGTAGTCTGTTACAAATCGATAAATTTCGTACTGAGACAATTTGCCTTTGTAATGTTATGGACATTCCAGATTGAACGTAGGATTTTGTATAGAAGAGTACAAGCTTAAGTTGTCACACGTGACCATAACAACAAAAAAGTGGAGGTGAACTTATGTAGAATAGTAAGTTTTAAAATAGGATGGGACAAAAAGTATATTTGACAGACGTTAGCCATAATTTTTCAAAAACGTTTTTTAGAAGGAGAATGAAGGATTTGCAATTAAATCATACAGCTCAGAGAACGCAACCATATCAAACATTTTGAAATTTCCCCGATCACTATCAACGAATTTATTTATACCACTTTGTGTTTATTGATGAGCATATCAATAAAAACTAGCAATCAGTATCTGTAATTCAAGTATTGTTTTGTACGGATTTGACTGATTGGTTACAGGATTTCATCATGAGATGACATCAGTGAGAGGACCATTGAAAACCTGCATAGAGCACTAGACAGCTGTTTCGTCCTAGTTTGGGACTCTTCATCAGTACTTAACCACCGGGGTTCGAATCCAGGACCTTCTGGTTGAAAGGCGACCTTGTAGACCATTAAGCCACTGGCTCTAACCTATGTCACCTCATGATGAAATCCTGTAACCAGTAACTATAATATCATTCAGGCAATCTTCACTTGTCTAGATGCCTCACACTAACACTGAAAGATACCAAAGATTGATAATAATATCTTGGTGTGTCTACCTTTGACGTCCCATAACCGATTGCTACCACTGGCTAAGACAAGTGATGTGTCACCATTTATACATTCCAGTAGCATACACCATGTTGCATTGTTGCTGACCTTCTTGATATGCTTTATGGCATCACGCAGGTAACATACCATGGTCTGAGTATTGTGGTTCTCCACATTAAGGAGTGATGGAAATGTGTAATTTTCAAATGATTAATTCTATTTCAGCCTTCATTTTGGGAAAAGCATCAGAGCAAATAATTTGCTTAGTTTTATCTTTTCAGCAATGTCATTGTTCCTTATAAATATTTAATTAAATACAGAAAGAAATTTCGTTTCACGTTAATTATGCATTGAATCGTAGTCATTTTTTTCAAATCTATCTTCATTAATTCAAGAATACAATTTCTAATAGTAATTTGAAATTCTACTTTACTTGGATAAAGTATTTAAGAGTAAATAAGTTTGTGCTCAAGAAAATTGTGCATCTTGTCAGTATTAATTGCAAATTTTAGTAAACACAAATTTGCAAAGAAATCAATTGAGTTTTTGTGCACTTTAAGGTGACTATTAGATAATAATGACTTTTAATCAAATTATTGATTTCTGTTCATTCCTATGCGTCGAGTATTTACAAGATATTTATCAAATACTCGTTTGTTTGATACGTAGATACCAAAATGGTATGAAAAACTTACCACTTGCTTTCTAGTTACACAAGCTTTGCTGTGTTAAAATCGAAAATTTAGTGAACAAGAAACATTTTATGAAGGATTTTCTTTATTAATTAATATAAAAGGTGGCTTTGATCCTCAGATTTAAGGAATAACTGGAAAGCAGTCAGTGTAGTATACAGCACTAAAATACAAATGCAGTCAGTAGGTATGCATAAGAGTGATGAATTCTTATCAGTCGGATGTCAATCACATTTGCAAACGATGAAATATGTTGTCTTGAATCGCGTGTACTCAGATATTTAAGAGCTGGTTTGCAAGTAGCTTAAAAAGTTGCTTGTATAACTGAAAGTGTTTACATCAAGGTAATAAAATAATAAATCGACTGAATTTACTAGATATTTGCCGAAAGTAACACTTATTTATTCGTGCCGTTCCCATGGTTATTGTCTCAAAAGTTTAACGGCGATGGTATTGGGAGACAGAACCATTTAGGAACTGATTGATCATTTCTGTATTAATTCATATGTTCCGTTGGGTTCCAAGTGGAATATAAGGCTTCAACAGCATATCTCCACTTAATCCTATTTTCTGCGTCCCTCTTTCTCTGGTCCCACGATTGCCCATAGTCTCTCATCTCCCCCTCGCACAACCTCCTCCACGTCGCTTCAGGACGACCCACTATTCACTAGTCATTTAGGTCCCACTCGAGCACTGGCGTGGTGTGCGACATCATTTGACGGTCTCCTCAGTGTGTGCCATTTTCTTCCTTATATTTCTTGAACAATAGGTTCTTGGTTAGTTTACTTCCATAATTTCTTGTCACTAATTCTTTCTGGCTATTCGATCTTCAATATGGAACAAGCGATGGCAGCTGTTGATGAAAGTCTGCAATAGGTTGTTGGAAATGCTTTCCGTGACATCCACTGCACGTTTCTCACCCATATAAAAAATAACATTTTTCTTCAAAATCCAAATATCGTTCTTTATGTAGAGTGCAGAAGATTTCCGAACCGACTTCAGAGTGATGAAAGTGTACCTTGCTTTTCCGATTCCGATTGGCTTTGACATCTTCATTCGCTCCACCTGTAGTTAAAATTATGCTGCCTAGATAAGTGAAGGAAGTGACCTCTTTAAAGTTTCTCGCGTTGATAGTGATTGGTGCTGGTTGGTTGGTCATCTTCATCCCCTCTGTCTGTTGTATATTCACTTGAAGTCATCTCTTTCCTACCTGCTTCTTCAGGCGGTTTGTTGGTTTTCACGTCCAAATATTCGAGTTTGTGTAGCATGAGACACAAACCATTCACGAAGTCCAGATCTTCCAGAGTCTCCTCATCGGTCCAGTGAAGGGTGCGCTACATAATCCAGCCCTCCACAATAAGTGATATCGTCGGTTAGCTTATGGTCGTAAGATATACGTATGATAACTGTGCTGCTGTACTACATATCTTAAAAATGTATGTAATAGTTGTCAGAAAACTGGTTTAATCCTAACTGAAAACACTCTTTATGTGTGTTTTTCCGGAATTATTAATGCGTTCCTGACGGAATGGTTGTACTGTTTGAAGCAATCTCATTTTTCCAAGTTTCGACATTTTTACTTAGAAAGTATCCTGTTTTTTCCCTCAATATTTCGTATATTTATCCTAATATTTTATAATTAAATGTCAAGTTGCTTTTATTATTGTTTCCATCCGATTTTCCATACAAAAGACTTTTGCGTATTGTGAATGTATGTATAAGCATTATATAGTGTTGCCTAATCAGGTGAGAAAATGGATACATTTATAGTCATCAGAATGAGACATCAGTTAAGTGTATACATGAGGAAAACATATGCAAATGGAAAGAAGATTACTGATTCATTAATAAAGTAATTAAAAACAGAATATTTGTCTTACATTTTTGAATATGAAATAATCTTTATCATACATATACTGAAAATAGGAACATGTGAAAAGTGAATGTGAAGGCTTTTGTCGTATATCTTAAACATATTTTGAACTAAATTTCTGATTAGTCGAGTCTTAAATAGGACGAAACGCGCATCCTGGATTCCACTGCTAGTCTCCGTCCACCAATTAAATTATAAATTTCTGATACTTAAGTTGCTACAACAATTTCATCTACAGACGGAGTAACAGTAACACATACCTGATCAAGTAAGTATTGGTTTACTTAGCACCTTGTAACTGAGTTTTAACATAAATTATTAAGTATTTTTATATGGCCATTTTATTCTATGGCTTTAATAACAAAAGACATTAAAGGTAGTATTAGAAAAAATGCTGTGAACTGAAGGTCACTCAAAATTATTCATCAGTCAGATGATACTTGTTTACATTTCCGTTTGAGTTAAAAATGTAAAATAAACAATCAACAAGATGAATAACTAATAAAAATTTCCAGAATACCAAATAAACAAAAACAAGTGAATTTGTAAATCAGATTTAATTTATTGGTCCGGTTGATAAAGATAAATTTAACTTACCAAGACAGCGAACAATCCTGTGGAGTTGATCAATATCAGAATCACCAGGAAATAAAGGATCGCCTGTCAGCATTTCTGCAGCGAGACAACCGACCGCCCAGATATCTATTGGCCTGGTTCAATATAATTAGCATAAAAATCACAAAATACAGTTAATACAGTAGAAATAACCAAATAATTTACTTCACAAAAAGAAACTGTGATTGGCATATTAATCATGTATTGGTAATCTTGTATCACTGTTATGTATATGTTTGCAATAAAGGAATTCCTCCTAAAATGTTATCACGTAGTACTGGTTGCTAGTAAAATGCTTCTGTGTATATAGTTGGTTCATTGAATTTTCAGATCCCTTATGTGGGGAAATCAGAAGATGCAAATATTCTGTCATCTACTTTCCAAAGTTTTGGACAAATCCGAACTCCTCCAGTTTTAGAATGTGGCTCTTACATATATGATATCGAAATATATATGCCCAGCACATTGGTTTAAGAATTGGATTTTCAGATTCTAACTGCAAGTTTGTTGAAGCAAATGGGTGATATTGTAAACGAGTATTCATAAAAACTGTGGTTCATAACACAAAACGACGATATAAGTTAACTTAGTTAATGAACTGTCACTAAGTGACTTTAAAATTAGAAAACTTCTTGGTAAAGTTGAATAAAAAACCTACTTTTACAGGATTTTCATCATTAGCTGACATTAGTTAGAGAACCATTGGAAAACCTGGGAGTACTGGACAGCTGTTTCGTCCTAGTTTGGGACTCTTCAGCAGTACGCACCCACCGGGATTCAAACCCAGGACCTTCTGGTTACAAGGCAAGCTCGTATGCCATTAAGCCACTGGGACCCGTTCCAATGGCCCACGAATTCTAACTTCTGCCAATTTACAACATAGCGCGATCCCAGCCAAGGTCTTCGCGAGCATTTGTCCTCACACCCAACCTGCTGCACCCTACTGGTCACGACTTCTCACTCGAACCCCAGGTAACTACCCACCTCAATAGGGCCAGTCGCTAGTGAGCATCTCATTGATATTCAAGTGTTGGTTTGCGGGAATTTGATTGGTTACAGGATTTTCATCATGAGCTGACATTGGTTAAAGAACCACTGGAAAACCTGGGAGTACTGAACAGCTGTTTCGTCCTAGTTTGGGACCCTTCATCAGCACGGACTCACCTATCTACTTTCAAATGAGAAACTCCATTTGATTTCAAAAACAGAGGTATCCGAGGCTTTTAAGGGTGACGAAACCTTTTGTTTTCCACCTAGAGCAAAATACAACTTAAAATCCGGTTAAACTCATATTTGAATAATGATCAATACACCATTGTGGTCCCCAATACTGGCCGTAATTAATCAGTGAATTGTGCTATATTTCTACCGAGCTACAGGATACAAAGCTGCTGTGAACTTCGTTACGATTCTGTCGCCAGGATATAAATACCTGGTGGGCATCAATTTCCTATGGTTTCAATATGAGTCTTTCTGATGAATCCCAATCAGGAGTATGTTCAGTGCTTTCCGATACCTACTCTCAGAGACTTTTATAAAGCGTCTCAAAGAATTAATCTTGTACTTTTTAATGTGAAACTTGGAATTCATTGAATTTATCAAGCACATTTGATTAACTACATGAAAATGTATTTTGATGCAAAGTATATTAATCTAAACTACTATACTTTCTAACAGAAACCAATAGAAAGATTAAAAGAAATGAAAAAATTTAGCTTTACACATTCATCATAAAATCACTTCTGCTTTCTCTTCTAAAAGATTTAAAGGTGCCCTGGATTTTCTTATTAATTTATTCATAAGGAAAAAATTTAACTAAACATCCATCTTAAGATATATCTCTGTTACTTATTGACCATTTGTTCAGGGGCAAGTCGCTGTTGTGTCTTTCACCTTCTCATTTTTTTAATAAGCTGCCGTCAAGAAACAAGTTAAAAGAAGAAACACAGGTCTATCTTTGATGAAGGATGTAATCTGTGGGAATTACTTAACGATCAGTAGTGTCATTTTCGTCAATAATTTCAAGTTTGTTTTATGTAAGATAAAACTTTGGAAAATAGGCACCGTATATAAACCATTACAAAATAAAAACACTTTAAGGGTTGCAGAAAAATATTTATCAGTAATTATTATACCATTTATTCCGTATTAATTTGTTTATTAGATACATCACACAGCGGAACTGTTTTATTCACTAGATGACGTTTTAAACACAATTTATAACTGATATGATTATGAACAATAAATTGTTTTCGAGACGTAACCCAATAAATAATGATACCATTTATTTCCTTTCCGTTCTGATTGGAACATAGGGCTTCAAGCCAGAGCTCTGAAGTCTCGGTAGCAGTGGTTTTATTTCTATTAGGTGGGGTCTCGATCGTTCTTCCTTAACCTCCTTACTACTAGCTTAGCGAGGTTTAGGAGTGTGTTGACAGGTGATCAAACCGCTGACCACGTGAGTGATGGGCGACCGCTGTATTGCTGAACCACCAAAGCATTTATCAGTAATAACTTATTATAAATGTACTACCAGTTCTTAAACAGTAATCAGTATCACCCTCAGATTCAATTTCGCGAAAACATCCAATTCTCATTAATATACTAAGAAGGTATACATAAGCGGAAAACACTATTATAAAGGACTGCACTGAATGACTTTCCGACAGTAAATAAAAGCAAGACAACTAGATGCTTTAATTCGCTTGACAGAATGATATGGTGGAATCAAAATGTTTACTTTATTTAAAATCTTTTTCAGAGCAATCCTTTGGGATTTTCAACCAAACTTAATTTTAACAGTAAAACCAGTTATTTCACATCCCTTAGTAAAAAATGTTATCGTAAAACAACTCTCGAAAAGTCAGAACACTATGTAAGAATCGGAAATCAAGCGGGTTCAGTATTGTATATATTGAAATTGCTAGACTTACCTTCCATATTTTGTGTCCCCAACAAGAAGTTCAGGTGCTCTATACCACCTAGTGGCAACATAGTCTGTATAGACTTCACCGGGGGCAGCTAGTGTACGTGCAAATCCGAAGTCACATAATTTTACCACGCCACTACGGCTAATGAGTATATTTTCTGGTTTGATATCACGATGAACTATCTAGATTAGAACCAAGATATTGTTTCCAATATACATAAGTTAAATTCACAACATAACAATTAACTGCTTTATTGCATTACATATTTCTATTTCATGCTCTAAAATGTTTCACCTTATATATTTAAAATATGGAAACTGATGTTACCTGTTATTATTCGACGGTTTTCGGGATTAAATCTCCGCACAAAAATCAACATTTATTTAAGTCTTGCCAGTTACTATGAGATGCTTTTTATCATCTCTGACCCTTAGTTTTCTTTCAATGTAAGGATCTCATCACTGGCCACTGTGGAAAACATCATGAAGACACTGCATTCCAGTCACAGGTGTAAGTGCGTATTTTAAAGCGTATAGTCCAACCACCAAAGAAGCGATTTGTTTTTACTCAGTGTGGACGTTGGCCTCAATGTTTTTGGTTGAAAGCCCTACGTTCGCTTATTACACAGCTGGTGAAATAATCAAAGTTTGTGATGAATTAACACATACAAAATAAATCCATTCCAGTTAATAACTAAACATTCATGTAAAATGTACTGATGGGTACGGTTTAACCAAATTTCCTTAATTTTACTACTGCTTTTACCTTCAGTACTTCACTTTATACAAATAGCCGACTTTATTGGTCTACTTCCTTGAAATATGATTTGTTTCTGTAATTTTCAAATTAAAGAATTAAAAAGCTTAGATGCGAAAATACTTATTTCCCTAGACTAATGCTTTTTTTTGCAATATATGTATATATATGAATTTCGGTTGCGGCTTCCAATATGCACACTATTTATTGTCTTACTTGGAAAAAATCATAGAATTTAAAACATATTAGACAGCTGAAGAATGATGACAGAAAGTCATGAAACTAGGATGTGGGCTAATTTCACTCGTCAGCAAGACATATCTAGAGCGTCACAGGGATTTTATTCCCTAGGAGACTCAAACCTAATTAATCTAATGCTGCAGCCAGAGGTATAATCTCTGAGGTATAAGAGGCTGGTAAATGACCTCCAGTAAGACTGCATCGGACAGATTGACTGATCCTTCAAGAAAAACCCCTTTTATGACATATCTTAATTAGTGATGAGTCAACTCTGTTTTTCAGGTTATAAATGTAAGTCTTTGGTGAATGCCAAAAGGCAAGAATCCTGAGTAGATGAAACTATTCTGGAGGCCTCCAAACATATAAAACCATCTCAGGAGTCACGAAGTTGGTGGTGCCACTGTGTGTAACATGTTGATTACATCCTTACCTGGAGTTTCCATTATAATTTCAATTTCATCAGCGAATGTCGTCGCAATTTGGTTGGTAAGAGTGATTCATAAGTAAAACCAATATTCATGAAATGTCTTAAAGTGAAAAAATTAATTTGCTGAAGTAGCCTGTTTCCTTTCTACCCTAGGCAAATATAACTCCAACTAATTCAGTCATCAATCGCAAACATATTTAACTTGTCACATGTTTGGGATTTGTAATAAGTTGTGAGCGTGAACTTAATAACTAATAAGAATTAAGCAGATGTTGATTCATAATGTCTGGCTACGTATACTGTAGGGAACATAACCCAAACGTTTTTGGCACAAAAACATTATAATCACTGGACTAATAATGTTGTCATCAATAATTATTGATGAAGTTATGAATAGTTTAGATTTAATGCTTAAGCATACAAATCCCAAAGTGTTAAGCTTATATGATGCATAGGAGTAAGAAGTTTTCCCCAATAGAACAGCAGTTACATACAACTGTTGCTTAATGCTTGGCTATAACTGCGTAAGATTAGGATAATAATTGCTTTGAATATTAACAGTTTACGCAAAACAGCACGGATCTTCGTTTGTTGTACATCATATAATATTAGCAAGCATTCTGAGTATTTTTTTATTTAGACAATGAATCAGCTACTGACACATCCTAAACTGCTCAACATTAAGTTAACTAGGTTTTGAAGAACTTCGCAATACTTAGATTAAAAACGAGAATATTTAAAACACAAAAAAGTCTAGCGAATTATTAAGATTTCAAAGTCTTACATTATGCAAATGACAAAATTCAACGCCTCGAATAACTTGAAAAAGTATGCGTTTTGTGCGCAGCTCTTCAATGCCATTGGGAAACTTCTCTAAATCATCCAGAATAGTGTGATCGACAAACTCGAATACAAGATATAGTCTTTTCTTTCGCCTAAAGACTTCCAATAGATTCACCAAATTGTCGTGGCGCAGCTGCTGTAAAGAAATATGGAATAGTTCAACAATTTACTTTCAGCATTCGTATTTCACGAAGTGCTATTTTCTTAACATGCTTGTCGTCTTCACTATCAATGAACTTTTTTATCGCTACAATTCGTCCAGTCTCTTTATTTTTACACTTTATAACCATGCCATAACTTCCTTCCCCAACTAAACCAAGGTTTTCGTACTTTTCCATTTATATCATATTAACCTGAAATGCAAATACCATCACGAAATCACCTTTGCACAGTTAATTTGTGTAGCTTTGTGTAACGCTTCACAGTTATTATTTCAAACAAATTTAAAATGGAAATATTTTCTGCAGTTATAAATTTTCTACACGAGCATGATCAAATGAAAATCATTTATTGTTTACAATTACTGGCAATCAGTAGTGACCCAGATTAAATTGTGATGATTTATGACGTTCAGCACCAAGTAAATTATTCGTGAAATTCCACTAGATTCGAAATGTTTTCCTTTATATTACACTCTTTACTTAGCCATAAAATATGGTTTTTTGTCACCGCTATTAAATGTCTCACTAGTTTTAAAATCAATGTTATTTATCGGTGCTTAATGAATCCACGAAATATATAGGATTCAGAGGTTTACAGAGAATACGATTGGGATCTGGATAGTGAGTTCATATAATTGTAGTGAAATGAACCTTTTAAATTAACACATAAAATCTGCTCACAAAATACTTCTGAAAAGCCTGTGGCATTATATAATTCTCTAATTTTTTTAGCCGGTAGCTTCTTCATTCAATATTTGAGATTGGTTGCATTCCCAATTTTTCTGATAGAATGCAGTATACTGTATATAACGGCAAATCTTCTTCTACCTCGCTTATAAAATCCGGTGTTCCACAAGGTGCTGTACTCTCTCCTTTTCTTTTTTCTTTCTTCCTACATGACCTACCTCATTCAAACGAAACTAACTTTGTCAAATATGCAGATGATCTGACTGTATCACTGCTTATCACTTCCGAGTCTGACAGCTCCAAACTTAATAGCTTTCTGTTGGACATCAACAACTGGTCCAAGTCAAATGGTCTTATATTAAATCCTTCCAAATGTCAGGTGCTTGACTTTACTTTCAAGCATCGACGTGACTTACTTGAACTAGTTAACTCGCATGATCCCTGTAGCATAGATGGCACGGAAATTGAAAGCAAATCAAGCATTAAATACCTTGGATTATTTTTTTCCTCTGACCTTTCATGGTCATCCCATATATTATCTACCTCTAAGAAAATGTTTCGTCTTACCTTCTACATTAAAAAGTTAAGACAATCAGGTATCAACCAACCTTTAGTTTTGCAATATTTAAACTCCTGTATTTTACCTACTGTACTCTGTTGCTCTCCGTTAATCTTTCCTGGGCTTCTCAAAAAAGATTATATCATATTACGAAGAGTATTAAATGCTGTAAGTAGAGCCTGTGGTCTGCCACTGCATGAGCTCGCTAACACTACAGTCGAGAGGCATATATATTCCTGTACGAAATGGGCAAAGGCTATAATGTCAGACCCTCTGCACCCCCTTTATTCACACCTGTCCCCTTGTATCTCATCAGGTAGGACGAGAAATCAATATAAAAAGATATATGCTCGTACTACAAAGTATAGAAATTCTACAATTACCTATTTAGCGCGTACTTTATGTGACGAAGACTCTGTTTGACTTGAAACTTACAAGTTACTATGTAATTAGCACAGTGAATCGACCCTTTTATCGTTCATCTTTCTGTGTTTTATGGTGTTACACTTTCTATCGTTTAAATCGTTACTCTGCTTTTTTATATTAGTTGGTATTACTATTATTACTACAATTTTGTACTTTATACATATTTTTCTCCGTATGGCACACAGTATTTTGCTACGTAGCTGCTATAACAATCGTTTTATTACTATTATGTAATGTGTATTTTTAATTTTTTTGTCGTTTTTGAGTAAATTAGATGCAATATTGTACTGAATGCTGAAAATTGTTTGCTGTATCATGAGTACTGTTTTTGGAATTAAGCTATTATTATTTACCTGTGTCTAAATGATTTCTTCAAGCTGATGGTACTCGATCAGACACTTTGTCAGTAATCCCTCATGTCGGCCTCTTTTTTTCTCGCAGAGACCTTGGTGACATGTGTTACTGCTCAACGGCATTTGCCACCAGGCATGTGTAATGGTTTGGACGATCCAGTTATTGTTCTGATTCGCCCTCATGACAGCCTATTGTTTTACATTTAAAAGTATACTTATGGCAGTGAATAATCTATTCATACTATCATAGCATGGCGTAGTTTATACTCATCACCAGGTTCGACAAAAGCAAGTAAAATCTGGGTTCTTGCCATGGATTACATTGGTGGCATATGGACGAACGAATTTTATTTTGCACGGTCATGCCAGGATGTGGGACATCTTTCAAATCCCAAAACATCTATCAGGTGATCAATTTGGGTCGAGAGGGCACAGTGGAATACCGGTAACCTAATAGTCGAAACAATCTCAGCGATTCTTGTGGGTGAGCTGGTCGCACGCAGCATTTATGAGTTCAATGAAGTTCAGAAATCCAGTTATGCGAGAAACATTTTTTCGGAAACCGTGTAATCATACCGTGAGGTTTAAGGAAAGTGCAGGTATCACCGTATCTTGATGGAGCTTCGTATCTAAAATCCACATCTTATTTCACCCGTCGACCTAGGTATTAATTTCGGTTTTCATTTCATAGCTGAGCCCGTATTGAGGTAACTGTTGTGTGCCTCTTCAAGTGAAACCCTTGCCCTTGCGGTGATGGTGCTCTGACTAGCAGTCCAGACATAAGTAATGACCAAACCAATATAATTGTGGCGGGCTGACTGACCTGAATATCCATCCATAGTTATTTTTTTTCAACATCAATAATAACTTATGCATTTTAACTAAATTACTTATGATGTGTTTATCAACTTGTAAAATTCTCTTAGGAGCTAATCATTGTTAACTTTTTTTGCTGGTTTTTATTTCTAATCTTACACTTTACTATTAGGCTACGATGTACCATTGACAATCTTTTGCTTTATTATCTGTATTTTTGTATGTCTTAAGTTCTGTACCACAGAGCGGCCGCATGTCTATGGACTGTTTGTTCTCTTCGGCGCTCACTCAGAAAATCTTCTATCCTGTTTTCTGCGGGATATTCTTGTGAATTCTGAGACAGTATTCAGCTGCGTTTATCTGATTGTTTTCACCATCTACCAGTCATTCGTACCTATGGGACCTCGGGCTCTATAGTTGTCTCACGTCATCATTGGAATAACTTCCATATCAATTTATATTCTTAAATAGACCCACAGATCCCTCCACAGCCAATCATATATTGAGATTGCTGGAATATACTTCTTGACTGTGTAGGAAATACGGAAGTTTGGTGAACCGAACTCAGAGAGGTGGCTAATCCTGTTAGTCATATGAAACTGCATGATTTCATTGAATTCCTGAGTCCGGACTACTACTACTCAGTCTTGATCTTTAGGGTTGTAAATATTAAATGTTATGTCATTACAAATCCAAGTAACGATGTGCACTACATGAAATCTTATAGACACTTTACTGACAACTCCGTACTTCACTGCGTCACTCTGCAGTTCGCTTGTTGATATCAGAGAAGCCTAAGGTTTTCTAGTGGTCGTCACTCTATTATGATCAGAGTATCTTTCCTTTTTACTCTGCAACACAAGGGCTGAAAAACCGACTCCACTGTGATCACGCTACCACTTGCCCCTCGACCAAAAATTGCTCACTTAGCCTTAACGTAGAAGGCGGACTATATTGAATCATGTTGGGAAATAAGCTAGACGCAACTACTAATATGAGTCACGCTGTTGATGGCCTTCCTCATGAACTAAAACCTGAGTCCGCAACTGATTTGCAGACACAGGAATAATAGGTCGTACTTTTATGGTGATAAGATGATTAAGGTAAGGATCAGTGGAGGTGAACATTGAACGTTTGTTTTTGAAACTGGTAGTCATTGGTTGGCATCTTGAACGTGTGAATGGTTTGATGGTGTACAAGTTCGACGGGGACCAACAAAAACGAATAGAAGTACTTCATAATTTTGTATAAAATATTTGTTTGTAGACAGAACTCATCATGGGTAGAGAAGCTATCGGAGAAATGAATGAAAATGGAGAACTCTTTGCCCACTTCTGCACCTTCAACGAACTAGTGATTGGTGGCAGAGTATACAAACACGAAGATATCAATAAGGCTACATGGGTGTCACCAGATGGGCAAGTTAAAAACCAAATTAACTTCATCTCAATACTGCTCAGGGAATTTGAGGCGCAGCCTACTGGACACAAAAGTAAGAAGAGGAGCAGACGTTGGCTCAGACCACTATCTCGTACAAGGGACAATCCAGATCAAATTAAAAGCTTTCAGGGAATCAGGAGCTACAGATAGACCACAAGCCAAGTACCATGGTCACAAGTACGCATGCCATCTGCAAATGCACCTGCATTTATTTCTACTTCACGTTCAAGTTCTACAGAACATTTATTTAACTTAGCGGTGGTAGGCATTCCCTCCATTTCATCATGATCAACCAAAGACAAATCTGCACTATCATGATCATTACCACAAATATTCAATTTACCGTCAAGTTCATCATTTTCAAGCTCTTTATTAACAGAAGTAGACAATTATGGTTCCTCCTCAGAAATCATTAAAGGTTTTATATCTTCACTCTGACTAGTTATACTTTGTAAACTTGTGGAGTCAGAACTCCACTCTGAAGCAGTAGCTCTATTCTGTGACACTTTATTCAACAACGGCTTAGCAATTGCAACTACAGACTTCTTCACAACACCGTTATCGTCACACAATTTGGAGTCAGACCTCGAGTTTACATTTAGCTTATCACTGAACTTGCTCACCGGTTCACAGTTCACTTCTGTATGCACCTCTTGCACACGTGTAAAACAAAACCGTGTTTGTCTTGCATCTTGTAACTTATCTGTTGAGGATGTACTACGAAACCTGTTACACTCACTAGGTTTATATGCATTGCTAGACATCTTGGAGCTTTCTCGATAACCACCTCTCTGAGGCCTACTCGTCATCAATGATTGCATTTTGATCTCAGACTGCTCTATTCTAGGGGTGAGATCTAATAGACTGGAAAACTTGCTCATAGATTGATTCACACTAGTATTTACCAGGTTCAGGATATCATCAAACTTTGGCTCGATACCCTCATCCTCCATACAGG